GATCCCACACATAGTTCCCGTGGTTTCCGTGAATGGCCGGTTATTCATCGTAGCCGGTTCCTACAAGGGGAAAATTGAAAGAACCGTTTACGGTGCAGGAGGCACTGCCATAATAATAATAAGTAATAATAATAATGAATGATAAACATACCATAAGTATAGCTAGTATACCCTACACTCTCTTATACCCAGATTTTAATTTGGAATTTATTCAATGCCTGCATTCAGGGACTAGGAGCTGTATTGTCACAAAGAAAAGAAGGATCATCAACACTACACCCAGTAGCTTTTGCTAGTCAAACCTTGGTTGCTGAAGAGAAGAATTGTAGTATAACTGATCTCGAGACATTAGAAGTTGTCTGGGCTATTTAACACTTTCGTGCTTACTTTTATGGACTTGTTGTGACTCTTATTACTGATCGTTCAGCTGTTAAAAATAATCTTGAAGCTATTGGCAAGCACGCTTGCTGGTGGTAGAAGGTATATTGGACTGCTATAAAAGAAGTTCACATCATATATAAACCAGGGAAGGAGAATAGATGGGTGCAATGTATTAATAAATGATATCACACATTGATCGTTATTATTGTTGTTATTAATGTTTTCATTATTGTAGTTGTTGTTATTGATCTATTGTATTACGATTTGTATAGTCTAGTTATTATTAAGAGCATTGTTATTATTAAGTGTTAAGTTATTAGTAGTTATTGTCATTACTATTATATATACACTGCACAGTCGACTTTTGTTTATGCAATTGTAATTGAAACATAACTCTTCAACTCCCAAAGAACCCTGTGTATAGCTGCCTCAAAGACTCCCATTCCCAGATATAACAAGATATAACAATTGGCGATGAGGACGGCTGCCATTGGAGCCATTAAAGAGTTTGGCAGCCCCTTAAAAGACTGGAAGAGTTACATTGAGAGAGTAGAGTTCTACATGACAGCCAATAGCATAACTGATGAAGCAAAAAAGCGGGCGACTCTTCTCTATTTGTGGTGTCAAAACTTACAACACATTAAGGAATCTTGCAGCTCCAACACCACCAGGTTGAGTTGCTTACTATGACATACAAGTGCTGGCTCAACGACACTTCTGTCCAAAGCCTGATGTAACCGTCCAGCAGTATAAGTTCAACTCTCGTGTAAGAGGGGAAGACGAGTCTGTAGCAAAGTTTGTCGAGGAGCTGAGACACATTGCTCTATATTGTGAGCATAATAATTCTCCATATAATATGTTATGAGACCATCCTATCGGTGGCAATAATAACAGATGATTGCAATGTTGCTCACTAGCCGAGAAGATGATGTTTGAGGATGCACTGAAGCTAGCACTAGCAATGGAAGCAGCTGATAAAGATGTGAAGGATCTCACAAATGACTTGGAACCACAACCAGTTCAAAATATGAGTAATAGATACAGACCCAGCACAAAGCAGGGAGCCAGAGAAAGAGAAAGGCCTCAAAGGAATTGCTACAGGTGTGGTGGAAAGCATTCTTCAGACTCGTGTTATTTCAAAGAAGCTGATTGTCATGCATGTCACAAGGAAGGCCATATTGCACGAGCATGTAAGACCAACTCTGAGTATTACAGAGAGGTCAACCGAAACAAAAGAAAAAAGATTCTGCTAAGGAAACGAACAATATTGAAGACAAAGAGTAACCAGATGATGTTTACAATATGTTCACGGTAAAGAAAGATCATAAAATCCAATAGTAGTAGAACTGACAAATGAAAAGGAGAAACTAAAGATGGAAGTTGATACAGTTTTGCTAAATAGTGAAATTGTATACAGGAAGACATGGAAGAATAGTAAAGCACCTCCTTTGCAACCAGGGTTGCCAGATCATAAACAAAGTTTGTTTCATAAACTTTTCTAGTGTTGCATAAACTTTTCATAAACCAGACAATTTTCATAAACTTTTCAGAGACTTTAAGTACAATACATAAAGATTACATAAACAATATTTTCACATGTAAAACTCAATTTTATAATTCTACATTTGCTTAAATGCTTGCAAATGCATGCCTTAGCTAATGGAGGAGGGGCTCAACATGCATATGCTTATTGGGAGGGGCTCAACTTGCCAGCATGCAACACTTACAAGTTGTAACTCAACACCTGCATCTTGTACCTAGAGAGCTGACAATGTGCTACTGCAGTGTGCATATCACATGACTTATATTATATCTGCATTCAATCAATTGCCCCTGTTAGACTGTTAGTATTATCCTTACTCCTGGCTCTTTCTCCTCCTGACTCAATAATGGCACTTAATGAAGCAAGTACTTTTTCAGAGCTAGACTGTAGTAGTAGTGACAATAGTAACCCAAAAAGACCAAGCAAAAAAAAGGTTTGGTAAAAATCCATCAATAAGTCCATCAATAATAGATACATTAATAGGTATCAGCAGGGAAGAGACCCAGAAAAAGATTTAAACAGGCATACAGGAAGGCATGCGAAAAGGATCAAAGATTTAAGCACTGGGTTTCGGAGGTTCAACGAAAGCCCCACAAGGCATTCTGTCGGTGTTGTCACAGAGAAATGACTGCAGTTGTGTTGATTAAGCATTAGAGCACCTCTGTTCACAAAGAAAATATAAAGGCACTTCAAATTCCTTCAGCACACAGAATAGATTTTATGCTAAGGGTATAACAGAGTGGAAGCAATTTAACCAAAAAAACAGTTAAAATTAGCTGCTTTCATTGCTGAACACAATCTCTCATTCCACATAATGGATCATTTTAGTGACCTTCCGAAACTATGTCCTGATTTTAAAATTGCATCAGAAGTAAAATGTAAGCGTACGAAAACTAAGAGTGTTGTAACCAATGTAATGGCTCCTCATTTTCATAGCAATTTGGTCCATAGCCTGAAGAAAGCGCCATTTCCGTTGATTATCAATGAAACCACCAACATTTCTACAAAGATAGAATTAGCATTGGTAACACGTCAATGTAACAAGAAGACAGGGAAAGTCTCTTGTTCACTTTATGAATTAGTAGAACAGACTTCGGGGGATGCTGAGGCTATATTTCACAGTATTTGCTCAGTTTTAGAAAATGATGGCATACCCTTCAGTAATGTTGTTGGTTTTGCTGCTGATACAACTAATGTCTTGTTTGGTCAGCACAACAGCATCGTCTCTCGTTTCAAGCAGAAAGTTTCAAACCTTTTCACCTTGCATTGTATTTGCCGCTGTGCACATTTATGTGCATCTCATGCATGTGAAAAGTTGCCTCGTACTCCAGATGATCTCATTCATAATGTTTACAACTACTTCGCCCATAGTGCCAAAAGGCAACCTGAATTTCAAAAATTCCAGTACTTTGCTGATGTCGAGCCTCACAAAATTTTAAAAAGATGTCAGACAAGATGGCTGTCATAGCACTCATGAGTACAGCGACTAATAGAGCAGTGGGACACCCTAGTTTTATACTTTCAATCTGTTGCTGTTACTGATAATTTGCTTGCATCTCAAAAAATTGTAACCCAGCTTCAAAATCTTATCCGGAAGCTCTATTTTCATTTTTTAAATTTCGTCTCGCCAAAATTCACTGAATTGAATTTGATGTTTCAAAGCTCTAGAATATATTATTTTTCCATTGCTTGTCCAGAGGATTAGCTTCAAAGTACAGGGACATTCTTAGTTGCTATATGTCTGATGTGTATTGGAAACACCAGAAGCTCAAAGATATTGATCCAACTTCTGAGGCTAATATGTTACCTCTATTGCGTATGTATATGGGTGCCAAGGTGGCACTACTATTAACAACAGCTGAATATACGGAAAGCAGGGTGGATGTACAATACTTTCTGAAGAAAGTACAGGAATTTTATATTGAAGCTACATGCCAGATCAAGCAGAGATTTCCTATTGGTGATCCAATAATTGAATTGTTCCAGGTATTAGATCCAAATGCATCACATTACACATTCCCTTCATTGGTTCCACTAGCTTCAACTTTTCCAAACATCATTTCCGAAAATAACTTACAGAAACTTGATAACGAGTGGCGTAAACTTGTGCTGGATGACCTGCCTTTTGAAACAAAAGTTTTGGAGCAGGCTTCTTCAAGTTAAAGATGGTACAGGTTCTACCCAGTTTCCAACAATATGTGATTTTATGAGTGCAGTCTTAAGCTTTCCTCATGCAAATGTCAATGTGGAGAGAATCTTCTGTCAATTTGATCAAAACCAAAATGAGAAACAGGCTAAAAACTAGAACAGTAAGGGCTATTTTAAAGTTAAGGATGGAGTAAAGTCAAGTGGAGGATGTGTGTCATTCTCTCCATCTACTGAGCTACAACAAAGAATGACTTCCAATATCTTGTATGTCAATGAAGATAATGGTGATTCCTCAGATACTGATTCTGAACCATAGGCATTGCATTATGCAATGTTATGCAAGTTATAAATAAAATTTATTATTATTATCATTAAGTTTACTAAAATTTACAATAGTATACTAAAAAAATACTAAAATTTATTGAAGTTGGGTGCCATAAACTTAAAGTTCCTAAACATAAACTTTTTGAGCGAAGGTCATTAACTTTTAGCCAAACCTATCTGGCAACCCTGTTTGCAGCCAACAAAGACAAAGTTAAAGATATATACAGGAGAATAAGAACCAGTACTAGGAACCATGACATTTGAAGTTACTCATGGCTCAGAAGGCAAAGTGTTGTCACTTGTCATAGTGAAAGGTGAGGGACCTAGTTTACTGGGGAGAGACTGGTTGATGCTGTTAAAGCTTGATGGGCATGCAATACACAGTGTGGTGAGAGCTGACTTAGCAGACCGCCGCCCAGCTATCTTAGATAGCCACAGTAGCTTATTTTTTTTAAAGAGGGTCTGGATACTATACAAGAGGAGACAGCAAAGGTTCACAGAAATGCACAGGTACATCCCAAGTATAAAATAAAGCATAGTTACGAGTGCCACATGGTGGATGTTGGCACTGTTTTGATGTCAGCACGAGGGCCTTGGCCCCAGTTATGACGTCAGAACAGTGCCAACACCCACTGCATGACACTCCTAACCATGGTTTACCTGATTTACATAATGGCACAGTGCTGCTTTTGTTCGTAACTGGCTTCATTGTTTACGGGATCACATGTACACCTAGCCAGTTGCACGAGGTCAGTTGAAGAGAAGCGAGAAAGAGCATGCTAGGTGAGAGACGACTAAAAAGCTAGTGAGAATCAGATGATATAAACAAATGGCGATATCGGAGTCAAGGAAGATCTGAACACCTCATTAGTTTTTTCGTATAATCCTTTCTTTGACATTTTCATTGATTGTTAATTTGTGGTTTGAACTTTGAACTGTGTGCCAATATCCTGAAGTTTGAACTGTGCCAATATCTGGATAATGGCATTGTTGAAGCCTTCGATCTATGCTCCACCTATTATATACCGTAGGTTGGGTTATATTTGTGGCTGCTAATATTCGCAATTTCTTCCTGCGGCTAGCAATTGCCATAGCAACTAGACGCTATTTTAATTGAAAACTACGCGTTATTAAAGCACAGCACCAGGTTGCAGTGCTCTTGAGCTGTTATTCTTCTTGCGGTTACTAATCCTTGGACTCTTTGAAACTGCTTTAGCTTTCAGAAATACTCTACTCACACTGCCTCGCTGCATCTTGGGACTCTCCACCGTTAGTGTTTATTGACTTAGGTGTGGTTTATAATCAGGGCCGACGGCCAGCACTGATTTTGCAGCAAAGAGCTTGGAGGTAGTGGCCCATCTATACAAGGAAATAACTGATAGAGAACTGGAGTCTGGATGGCTCTACTAAAAGTGCTCAAGAATAGGTGATTAGCTGCTGAACACTGTAAATGTATAACACATGGTCAATTGTCATAGCAACAATCAATTGGTTTCCATGGTATTTAATTGAACTTCTATATAGTTTTTATCACGGCGAATATTAGCAGTCACAAATATAACTCGACCTACGGTAAGTTCTGCAAACCATGACCAGTTCCTTTCTGATTAAGAGAAAAGGTGGAGTGGAGCTTGGTAGACTGGAAGAAGGAGGTATCATTAGAAAGCACCTATTTTCAGAATGGGCAGCACCAATTGTACCAGTACTAAAGGATGATGGTACAGTAAGAATGTGTGGAGACTATAAGGTGACTGCTAGCCAAGCTGTTATAGTAGACCCACACCTGATTCCAAGTATTGGAGATACATTTGCAAACATGGCTGGAGGTACTCTTCACACAAAACTAGACCTTTCTCACACTTACCTACAGCTACGATTAGATGATGCTGCTAAACAATACATTGTTAATAATACTCATAGAGAGTTATATGAGTACACTTGATTGCATTTTGGTATATCATCCGCACCTGCAATTGAAAGTATTCTCCAAAGGTTAGACCAAGTTGCAGCGTATATAGATGATATCATCACAGGAAGGTCTGAGGAAGAGCATCTCAAAGTGCTAGATGAAGTCCTTCAGAGACTCGAGAAAGCTGGAATGAGATTAAAGAAGTCAAAGGGTACCTTTCTATGAAAAAGTGTCATATATTTAGGATGCAAGATATCTCAAGAAAGATTACAGCCCACTAAAGATACAGTGAGAACTATCACACATGCACCTAAACCTAATAATGTTTCTCAGTTAAAGCATTCTTGGGTCTTGTGAATTACCATCATAAAATTATGCCTAATTTGTCGACAGTATTATCACCCATCTATAAGCTATGGCAGGTTAAAGTCACATGGACCTGGGGTGGACAACAACAGTAAGCATTTGAATCGTTTTTTAAATTTTTTTACTCCTTGCGATACAGAGAAGTCTTTAGTAATGACTTGTGATGCCTCTCCAATAGGAGTTGGAGCAGTGTATTAGTCATCGAGTGGAGGATGGTTGTGACAGACCAATTGGATACACGTTTAGAGCTGTAACACTAAACAGAGCGTAAGTACACACAGATTCATTAAGAAGCCTTAGCCATAGCGTATGGAATAAAACGTTTTCATCAATATTTATATGGCCATAATTTTATTATTCATACTGAACATAAGCCTCTAATGTGTCTGTTTAATGAGAATGGGCCATTACTGCTACAGCATCTGTTCATATACAATGATGGGATTTAACTATCTGTGTATTAGATTCAGCATCATTCTGGTGGTAATGCTGATGGATTGGGCAGGTTACCATTACCTACCACAATAGAAAAAAATCCTGTTACCACCGAGACTGTTCGATTAATGGAACACCTTGATGCTTCATTAGTCACAGCAGCACAAGTCAAGTCCTGGACTGATCGAGACATAGTATTACGTATTACATGGGTGGCCAGACAGCACAGAAGACAATTTAAAGCAGTATAAGAATAGGAAAGATAATCTTAGTGTTGAGAAGGGCTGTTTACCTTGGGGAGCAAGAGTAATTGTACCACCTCAGCTACAGAAGCTAGTGCTGGAAGAGATTCATCAGAGACACCCTGGAATAGTTAGAATGAAGGCATTGGCTCTTTGCTATATCTGGTGGCCAACATTGAATGCAGATATTGAGAAGTAAGTACATAATTGTGCTACCTGTCAACAACAAAGAAACTCCCTCCATCTATCCCTATACAGCCTTGGGAAATGCCAGAAAAGCCATGGACCCGTGTCCATATACTGTAGATCGGGTATACTTCAATGCATGAAAAAGGGGGTAAATTTAAAGTTCAATGATGGAAAAATTAGGAAGCCCTTTATATTCCAAAAATATTTTACTTGCTATTATTTCCATCAACCACCAGGCCTGGTAAGTAAATCGAAGCATTTGCTGACTTCTCCACTTCTGAATCAACCTTAGCAACACTTCTAACTGGCAAAGAAGGCTCTTTATGGCCTTTGAGTTAGAAGCCATGGATAGTTAAAAAGCCACATGTTCATAATGATTGCACAATACCACATATCTTCTTTTTCTTTTTATGTGCATATTTTAAAATTTCTTAATGTTTATTTTCACAATGGATTGCATCTTCTGAAATTATTAATGCATTGAAATATACCTGATATATGGTAGACTATGCTGGACCATTCATGGGTAAAATGCTGTTAGTACAGTTGACTTATTCTAAATGTATTGATGTTTTTGTGGTTTCCTCAACATCAACAGAAGCCACACTAGACTCTTTAATAGCGGTAGCTTTTTGCTAATAATGGACTTCCAGAGGTCATGGTTTTAGATAATGGAACATCATTTACAAGTGTCCAGTTCAAATAGTTTGTCACAAGGAATGGTATCAAACTTATTACTACAGCTCCATACCACCCTTCCTCCCATGTACTGGCTGAAAGAGCTGTGTAGACTGTGAAAGATGGCTTGAAGAAAGTGACTGAACCACTACAAACAAGAGTATCACAATTTCTATT